AATTCCGCTACAAGCAATGAAGGTCAAAATGCGCCTCTTATACACATACACACACATACATACACCCATGGGTGCAGCTATGCACACACTTCAAAAGTTTTGACGTTTCATAAATCCATAAAAGCGCATTGCATGCTATTAGGCGCACCGCTTGCTGAGCTTGCTGTGCGCTTTCGATTGTGCATATGCGCGCGCTCCATTTACTTGCGCAAGTGTAGGCGTAATTTGAAAAAATTGGTAAACTGTGAAAGTTTTTGCTTTATTTTCAGTTTTATAATTTCTACTGATTTTTCTGGTGCTTTCTCTGGCATTACCTTTCTTTCTCTTTCCTCTTTGGTCTGGAGTCACATTTTTAATTTCAGTTTCGCATGCCACCAACAATACGCCCAGCAATTAAATATGACATTTTATATAACAATTGCTTACAAACACAATTCTGCGCGTTTATTTGTGTGATTTGTAATTGGCGGTGTAACCTTAATGACGAACGGAAGCGGAAATCCTTTAGCCCAATAATTCTTTTTTTGAATTTGGACATATACGTTTGAACCCTTTCAGCACTATAGGAACACGCTTTGGCAATAAAGGGAGTAGAAACTCGGTCTGGTATATATATCAGCCAAGAAGTCTGTGGGAATGGACACAGCAAACTTTTAAGCTCTGGCGCCAGTGGCGCTGCCTCCACTATAAAGTAAACAGTTCGCGGTAATTGTATTGTGACCGCCGAAAAAGCACGAAACGCACAGGTGTGAGCGCCCCAGAAAGCTCGAACCCTGGGAGCTCTACTAACGTCGATATTGCCGAAGAAAATGATCTTCTAAATATGCTTTACGGCTGGATCCAAATGAGTATGTTAATATGGCAGCTATTAAAAGGCTTAGGATTAAGCCCAGCAATTAGGATTTGGACGGAAAAGCACTTAACAAGGCAGCTACACCTGCTTAACTACAAGTTCAGCCCGATAAAGGAAGAAGCGTGACAGTTGGTTTCCTCTAAGAAGGAAATGGAAAGTGGAGTGGATGGCGAGACCACTCTTTACTCGAGGTTCGCAAATTGGATCAATCAGGTAGTGGGGAAGAGACGATGCTTCCAGGAAGCTAAGATGATGATGTCACCTAAATTGTTGGAGTTCAGAACGATGTCTATGACGTCTAGAGTAAGGCGCGTCGGCGAAAAGTCTCCGATGTCGAGGGCTTGATTGTAGCATTCATTGGTCAGAGTGAAGCCACTCCTCAGCATTTGATGGAGCAGGGTCATACAGCGGTGTCAAAATAATTAAATGAATGTACAAAACCTTGCTGGTTAGGATAAAAGAGGCTGTGAACACGCTTTGAGATCAGGGGAAGAAGCCTTCCTTGAAGTAGGAAACTTTAACTGCATTCCGTATAGACTTGCGAATAAGACGGCCGAAGGCTATACCCGTAATTCGGGTACTGTCGTGGAGTACTACTTATGAACCTTTGCCTTAAGAGGCGCAACCCAGCTGACGACAATAAAAACATAACTCGAGGTGAGAGAGGTGGAGAAAGATCTTGAAGGAGGATCTTCACTGAAGAAAAGTCACGTAATGTTAGCGAAGACAATTTGACAAAAGCAATTGCTTTACCTTCCTCGTAAAAGTACGAAGCCATCGCTGAAATCGGAAAAAAGGATCAGAAGCTTTAAAAGGAGCAGCAAAATCGCATTCAAGTATCAGAGAATTCAACTTTCCACACCGCAAGTCGGTAATATGACCAAAATATATAGCATCCCCGACTTGGTAGTTCACAGTTTTTCCTTTTCCAAAAATAAAATTTTCACTCATTTCGGAAGTCTAGGACCAGTTACAATTCGAAGGCCATTTAAGGATTGAAAAAGGCGCCTCCGAGAAAAAAGTTTCAAACAAAACTTACGTATTTGTATTGTCAGAATTCATATCTGTAGTAAAAACATGTTGTTTATTTTAAAAAATGGACTTCCAGTCAGTTTAATCTATTTACGGTCGAAACCGGAGGGCGGTCATACGAACAAAAGATAGAGCATCCCCGATTTGGAAGCTGAAATGTTTGCCTTTTTCAATAAGAAACATTTCCCTCCATTTTAGAGAGGAAAGATGGGTTTTTTTCAGTTTATTATGGATTCACTGCTCAAAAATTTATAAATAAGTCGGATAAAAATTATTTAATTTTGATATTTACTTTGATAAAATATAATTTTTTGAATTCCTAAAAATAAAAATTTCATTTTCATTATTAAATAAAGGCCTTTAAGTCACGAAAATCTCCAAGTCGCGCGCCTTTTCCATTTCCAGTTCATTTCATGGAAGCCCCGTTTTCTATAACCCTTCGGTTATCTATCAATAGCTTACAAAATTTAATTTCACATACATGAATTCTTGTATTTACTTCAATAAAGTGTTTCATTCGCCATTCGAGAAGTCCATAAATGCCTTTGCTAAGTAGGAATAAACAAAAGTTACTGTGGCATGCAATGCTGCCTACTTTTAGGCCATATTTTTCTTCATGTGTATGAAATAAAATGCATTTCGCAGAAAACGCCCCGTTAGTCTTCTCTAGCCAACGAAACCATTTATTTTGTAAGTCCAATCTAAATTCTGCAAGCTACGCAAATAAATATTACCCTAAAAGAGCAAAGATTGTGTCGTATAAATTTCCAGTTCGAAATATGAGGTGTACCAGCTCTACCCTGTAGTATTCGCAACAAATTAAAAAAATGTTGAAAGGAGCCTCCAAGCAAAATATCAGTGAAATGCCGCTCATGGATTTCATATGACAATAAAAGTCCCCAAAAAAATAAAACAAACCAACTTTCAACTGCAATAAAATTAAATATGAACCAATTAAATACCTACTCGCAAGCCCAAACAGCACAACAGCAAAGTGCACAACAACAAACAACCATGCCCCCACACCGCCATTGTCACGGCCATGGCCGCCAGACGGGTAGAGAATTCCTGCCAGCGACGACTTCTCGCGGAATTGTTTACTTGTCGTGATTGAATTGTTGATAAGTGGAAGCCCACAAAATTGTTGAGTGGTAGTAAATACAAAAAAAAAAGGAATAAGCCTACCTACCAACAAGCAGCTTTAACTAAATGCAAGCATGGTTGTCTGTACATATGTACATATGTATGTATAGACAAAATGTGCGCCAGATATTTCCGTACACGCAGCAAAATGCACGCTTCGCATTCCCTCGTACCGTTTTTGTGGAGGAACTATGACTTGGGAATCCATATGCCGGTGCTAGGCACAGCATAACTGCCAACTGACAACTTGCGAACTTTAAAATTTTACCTACAAATAGACATGGGTAACTTTGTTTTGTGCTTAACAGAAAAAACAAATAAATTAAAGAGAGCAGCCGGTAGACCGCAAAGTAAATAAATTAAAATACAGACTAAAATTTTGTAAATAGCCAATGGAATAAATTTTTGAAGTCGCGTAAAAAGACTAGTTCAGTATCGGTCCTTTGTACTCAGGTGCAACTTGCTCGTGTTTGCTTTTAGTTACCACTGCGGAGAGTAAAAAAATACCTCTGTTGTGGGCCATTGTCTGTGTTTTCTTGAATTGATCTGACTGACAGCGATTGGTAGTCAAAACTACTACTTCTCGACAAATGTATGTCTTTTGTATGTATCTTTTGTATGCAATCTTCCTGCATTTAAAATGCCCAAAATTTAGCAATGCCCCACTAGTTTGCCAGACAGTCCCATTTGCTGTCGGGTAACTCGCATTGGCATACGTAAATAAGTACGCTGCACACGTCACATGCTGCACGCCACAAACCACATGCCAAAACGTCACACGTCATTTACCTACAATAGTAGTAGGAAAGGAGTGCGAGCAACGAACAAGCAAAAAACTAGGAAATGCACGGAAACAATTCAGACAGTTGGCGGTTCGATTGAAAGTGAGCAGTAAAAGTTCGAAATTCACTTTTGACATTTGAATTAGTTCAGAGAAGGGGGGGAGGGGTGAGCAAAATATATGTATGTATCCCACAGCTAAAATGTACATACATACATATGTACATATGTGCCATATAAACATACAATTATTGACTGGAGAGCAAAAAGAACCCTTTTTTTTTGTTATATGTATGTAGATGAAGTGGCATTTTTCAGTATCTAATATTCGAAGAAGCAAAGTTTTTCGAATAGCGGAGTGTGTGGTTCGAAATTTTTTACCAGCTAATGCAAGTATTTAATTGTAGCTGTACATAATTTAATTAACTACTTATATATTCATATGATTGCCGTACATACATATGTCACATAAAGTATATGCCAATTCTTTACAGAATGAAATGTGGAACTCGCCACCTAACGGAATACTTCGGACTCTAGTAGAATGCCGAAATGTGATTCCATTGGTGCCCATTTTCCAAACATTTGTGTGGACCAAAAAGATGCTCGGAGAAGACAGCAGAGGAATGTTCCATCATAAGGGTACCAATAATACAGTGACGCTGATAACGTTAGACGAGATCGATAGGCAGGTCAGCTCCATTGTTCTCGGCGTTGTGTACCCTAGCAAAGAGCATGCGAAGAATTCAGGACGAAATAATAGAGCATGATGTGGATTACCTCTACTGTTTTCTTGAAGGTGGTTAAAACGTAAGCAAAATCGCCTCCAAGAACGGTGAGCTACAACCTAAAAGACCTCAGTAATTTCACTTGAAGACGGTTAGCAGAGAAGAAGTACCGAATACTTGTTCAAGGGTTAACGGGTGCATGACTGGCACCCTATCGAAACCTCTGGACTGAAATATGTCGAAAAAATCCTTAACTATTGCAACCTAAGTCTTCCTACCCAGGACCAGAAAGGTCTAAGGTAACCACAATAAGTGTTAAAGGCAAATAGCAAGAAAATACTTTTAGTTAATAAGTACTTATCAGAAGAGTGAAAATTGCGATAATAAATTTATCTCCCATAGTAATTTTCACTTTCACTTTTTTTCAATTAATCTTCAGCTTTTTATCTACTTATTTCACTCACCTCAACAACTCGAATGTAATGCATAAATGCTTGCGGAAGTATGTATAATCCAGCATATGTATGACATTGTGAGATCCATCGGCATCCTTTTCGCGCAATTCATCCAAAATATTCAATTCTACCACAGCCTGATTGAGGAAACGCCTCTTATTGCGTATAATCTTAATGGCCACGTATGTATTGGTTTTGTGATCCATGGCGCGTATAACTTGACCGAAGCTACCCTTACCGATTACTTCGAGTATCTCATAGCGGAAGGCAATGTGATCGTGTTCAATCTGTGAGGAAATGAATAATGCAAAGAAATTCAGAGTATTTTTTATTCACAATAAAACAAATATAATTCACATAAAAGAGCCATGTTCTTTTTTCATTTTGCGAATCGAAAAACTCTAAACTTTTGGACTGACAAGTTAAGGAAATATATTTTTTTTTTTTTAACAATCGTTGCTACTCACAATTTTATAATTTCCATTATCATCATCGAAGCCCGCATTGGCAGTTCCGTTCGTTGTGGTCTTATTGTAATTTTTGCTGGCATTTTGTCCGAAATACCAAATCTCTTTGTAAACTTTTAGTTCTTCAAATTCCACATCAGTCAAATAGTTGCGGTACTTCTTAACGAGCTCTGCGAAAATAAAAGACAATAACTTGGTTAAAAATTTCTAAACTTAAATAATGAAAAAATAAGAATAAATAGAGGGAATATAAACTCGAAAAAATAGCGCCAATAACAAAAAAAAGGAACAGTCCAGCGCCTTCGTCTTGGTCTGCAGGCTGTATCGGAGATACACCCGCTAAATTTAAACGTAGAATACGTGGTATGGTTAAGAGCATATCCAAGTCAAAAACGAAAGCACAAACTAAGAAAAAAATATCGATAACAAAAGCGATAATAAAATCGATAACAAAATCGATAAAAATATCGATAACAAAATCGTTAACTAAATCGATTACAAAATCGATTACAAAATCTATCGAAAAATCGATTACAAAATCGATAACAAAATCGATTCCAAAGTCAATAACAAAATTGATAACAAAATCTATCAAAAAATCCATTACAAAATCGGTAATAAATTCGATAAAAAAATCGATAAAACTATCGATAACAAAAGCGATGGCAATATCGATAGCAAAATCGGTAAAAAACCGATAAAAATACCGACAACAAAAGCGATAACAATATCTATAGAAAAATCGATAAAAATATTGATGACAAAAGCGACAAAAATATCGATAACAAAAGCGATAACAATATCGATAGCAAAATTGTTAAAACAATCAAGAAAAATATCGATAACAAAACCGATAAATAATCAATAATAAAATCAATAACAGAATCGATTACAAAATCGATAACAAAATCGATAAAAATATCGATCATTATATCGATAAGTTCCGAAAATATCGATAGCAAAATCAATAACAACATCGATACAAATTTCGATAACAAAATCGGTGAAAATATCGGTAACAAAACCGATAAAAATATCGATGGCAAAATCGATTAAAATATCGGCAACAAAATCGATAAAAATATCGATAACAAAACCACACAGATCCACATTAACTGAAACTTTCATATGTACGTATATATGCATTTACATATGTACATACGCTGCGATCAAAAGCCGCATTACATACGCATACATACTTTTTGTCTCCTTCCCACACTTCCAATATATGCACGTGTTTGCAAAATGATGACGAGGTGATTTTGTATGGAAAATCATTTATGCCCATATATTTGAATAAAATAAACATATATAGAAGATATCAACCAATACTTCCCATATACCAAACGAAAGGAAAACTCTTGAATTTTTGATTAAAGAAAACAAAAACAAAATCATTCGAGCGGTTTTCGAGCATTTTGGTAATGAAAAAAATTTGCAAATTTTTTCAACAATTTTTTGCCTTAAAATGCTCAATATTTGTTAAATTTATATAAAATTTGTACCCGATAATATTTCTACTGCTCCAAAGAACCTATATACCGAAAATGAAAGTTATATATGCCAACAATAAGTTGCTAGAGCACTTTAAAGGCTCAAAATTGACCCCAAAATAAGGCAATGTTTACCGTTGTTTTTACGACAGAAACCGAATTGGTTATTTACAAAAATAAATCTGTCGACAGGTTTGGAATTTTATCTTTGAAACGCCACACTTTTCTTTGAAATCGCTTTATTAGTTCTCGTGCAATAAGCGTTTTTGTGAAGCTCTAAAAATTACAACTACAACAATTGAACATAGCCCCCATACCTTAAGGTAAGACGTATTCTACGTCAAAAATCAAAGTTTAAAATTAAGTTAAATTAAAAATACACGCTTTACATTTCACGTACGCCTACTGCAAATATATCCTTAACGTAGGCTACCTTGCTACCATTTGCTAGAGACTGCTTAACATTTCCATGCATTTCCATGTGTCCTTCAAAGCCTCAAACAAACACGCATTTACGTATTTACATGTACGTCAAAACCCCGCTGCCATTTAACGCCTCTCTCCTCGCTGAGTGCATTTAAATTACGTACGAAAAAACGCAAATTTTCAATTTATTTTTACACAGGAAATCCATTTGTACTCGGATATGAATAAAATATCAGCGCACTCGTTAGCTCCGTCAAATGGAAATTCATTTAAATACAGACATACATACATACATACATAGGTACTCGCATATATGAGGAGGGCCGAATGTTCAAGAGAGATAAAACATAGAAATAAACAAATCCTATTTTATGTTCAGCCATTTCAGTAACAGTGCTGGTCGTCACTGAAAAAATGATTTAATTAATATTTTATAAGTATAATTTTTATTTGAATTTACACCCAGTAGAGTATTGGACAATTAAATTTGTAAACTTTTTAAATTTTTTTTTATTACTTTTTGTATGTATATTTGAAATTTGTGTTATCAGAATTTGTGGCATCAATATGTGACCTATGGATTCCATCGCGAAATTGTGTTTAAATGAAAACTTAAAAAAGATATACTAAAAAATTTAAATAAAAACTCCGGCTCATATACCCGTAATTGTGTATGAAACGTACATACGTGCTCCGTGGTACCATACACAGTCAGCGAACACGTTTACTCGCACGCCTTAATTTAAAAGTCATATTATTTAAAAGTAATTAAATATTTGCATGGAAAGTTTTTCTGCAGTATTCTTCACGAATATATATATTAATTTCTTCATGCATATAATAATTTCAGATTGCATTTCGAGTGTGCCAAAAAAAAAAAAAAGAAGAAGATTGGAATTTTTCTTTCGCGAATTATGGTCACCTTCCTTATAATCAATGTATTTTTTTTCATTTGGTGGCACAATAGTTTTATTGATTGGTTTGTTTTAGCAAGAAAAAAAGTTTCACCGTTTAATGTTGAAAATTTTGAAGTATCTTAAACTTTTAAAATGAAAAAATCGTTAAATTTCAAAAATTACAAAATAGCTGCGACAGATATTTTGCATGCTGCCACTTTTTAATTCGGTGGCACACTCTTGAAACTTCTCAGATATGCTTTACTTGATGCCAACTTTCACTGCCTCTAATATGAACATACAATTTGCAAACTTCCCAAAGTTATTAAAAAAGACAATGACGATTTTGTCGAGTGACAATAACAAAAATTAGTAATTTCGTTACTTTTTCGCCCAAATAACCCTTGTAAGGCTAAAATTGTTTAAATACTTGATTTATTTTTGATTGTATTTGTTTCTGCAACTTCATTAATTCAAATAAATTCAAGAATGTTTTAGCGCTTTTTTCGGGCGAGAGAAAGGAGTTATGTATACTGAAAAAGCAACTCGTAAGATTTGCTTATATAAAGCTAAGCCATAAGTGATATTCCTTTTAACTGCGCTGAAGTGATCGCTACTCAGTTTTTCCAAATCCACGATATCCAATAAGCGGGCTAAACTGGGAATATAATCAGTTATTTTGTTGGTAATCCGTTAGATCAAATACTCTCATAGAATAATGAAGACCGGGTCAAAGCTAAATATCAGTATTTTCCTCTCAGAACTTAACGAGAATGTATCATAACTCCTTTAAACCTAAAACCTATGAATATATTCGAAAAAAATTGTATACTGATTCGTTACTATATGAAAAAATTTTTTAAGGGAAACTCGGTTGTTTTGTTAAAGATCCTTCATCTGAATCGCATTCGATATGTATATATTACAACGACCTTATCGATATACGCATTCATGATTTTATCGAAATGTTTATCGGGTGTTGTTCAACATATTGATGCTGCAATCAAAATAGGTTTAAGCTGTAAAGATATCTGTCGATGTGTTCAATGGTTATATATGTACATCGAATTTGTTATCGATATATGCAGTTATAAAATTATCGAACCATTTGTCGGTTTGCCGATTTTTTCTTTTATTTTTCAATGCTTTTATGTATATTTAACACTGATGTTATCGATAAATCTATCGAACATATTTTCAATTTAATAATCGGCACTTCTATCGATACATGAATCGCCATTTTAACTGACCAATGGTGCTATCGATTAAACTATCGACTATTTATCACATTCGCTCTTTATAACTTTAACAATAATATTAACGATTTAGCAATCGACACCACTATTAACAGATTGCTCGCATGCATTGTGTATAAATTTATCGATAAACAAATCTACAGCAATAACCTATCGTGGCCCTTTCTCTTAGAAAATTCATCACTTTTATTATTGCTTGCTGGGCATCTATGCAATTCGCCAACGAAACTAAAGCGCCTTATTTATTTAATTTATTTTCACTTGCGCTTTTCACTTTTACATTTTCGCTTGACATAGCTTTAATTTCTCTTGCCTTCTGCCTTCTGCCTTTTGCCTTCTGCATTCTGCCATTCACTTTTTTTGCTATTTCTCTAGCGGCCGCAGTTATCCTTGACCTTAATATTATTTATTTAAAATTTAATTAGCAACAACGCGAAGAGCATTCAAAGAGGCAAAATGCTTGTGGTTAGCAGCGCATACAAGCGCACACTCAAGCGAGAGTTGCGAGGTATTGAATGACAGTGATGCGTATAATGCTGCTGAAACTAGCAAAAAAAAAAAATATAAAATTGAAAAAAAAAAAACTTTCACTAAATGCTATCGGTCATATCCTGCCATTGGCTGAGCGGGCCAAACGAGCAAGCGTCGAACGTTGAACGTTGAACGTCATACTAGCAGCACGAGGAAGGTGGGTTGTGGGAAATGAAATTGTTAAGCAAATAAGCGTCAAGCGTAAATAGCCTCAGCTCAGAGCGCAAATATGGTTAGCTGAACTTGAATAAATACGTTAACACACAAGGTAAATACATACACACACACACACACACACACACACACACATACGAATGAGTGCGCCCAACAAGCAGTTGAAGGACAAACTAAAACAAATCCCCAAACACACCCACACAGCGTACACTATTTCTATTTAATTTTTTTTTTTTTTTTGTATCTTTTTTGTTGTAGGTATGTATATATGTATGTATTTGTTGCACCCACCTGCCGGCGTCATCGGTGTAATGCATTTCATATTGTCACTGCTGCCACTGCCGCTGCTGCTATTCGATTTGGTCGATGAGCCCCGCTCACCGCCGCTTGTCGAGCTGTTGCCATGCGATGAGATCGTTGTCGATGATACTGGTGAACCAATATTATTGTTATTGTTGTTGTTGTTGTTGCTGTTGCTGCCGCTGCTGTTGTTTTGTTTGTTGGCATTAATTGTTTGTTGTTGTTGTTGTTGTTGTTGATTTTTGTTATTTGTATTAGTGTTGCTGTTACTGTTATTGTTGTTGTTGCCACTAATTGGGCTGCGCTGATGATGGCCATTGTGATGGCTATGGCTGTGACTATTCAAATGATTATTGTGTGCATCTAGGCAACGGCTGGAGCGCGATGAGCCACGCATTGTACCATTGCCACCACCAACAATACTACCGACACCGACACCACCACCACCACCCACGCCCCCATTGCATACATTTGGCAAATCGATGCGTGAATTCGAGAGACGATTGTCGCGATCGACAACGGCGCTAACGCGCCGCAACTTATCGTTGTCTATTTGAATCTGCAATGAGAGAGAGAGAGAGAGAGGGAGAAAATAAAAATTAAAGAACGAAATTGAGTGAAAGTGTAAATAAATTTCTGCCGAATAAAAACGATTTTGTTGTATGATTTTAGGCGAATCGTAAATGAGTGGAATAAAATATACGTATGTGTGTACATATGAGGGAGTTTTTAGTTAAAAGCTGTAGCTACAAAAACTTTTTACGAATAAGCAGAAATCTTGGGTTTCAGTCAGTGTTGCCAGATTGATGATTTGGTCGTCATTTGGAAGATTTTTAACTGTCTTGATGTTTTGACGATTTCTACAAGAAAATGATGATTTTTTCATAGGGTGCAGTTTTTTATTCCCAGTTGTTTTAACGCCGATTCTTTTAATTTTTATTTAATTTTCCAGAAAATTAATCTTTAACGCAAACTAAAAGATTTTTGTATACGTATTCTTAAAGTAGATACCAAACTTCTCCTTTCAGGACTTTCTTTTGAATTCGAAGGTTTTTTGGGAAAGGATTCCTTCACCATATATGTATATGCAATGACTAAAAAAATTTCAATAATAAGGAAAAGGAAATATGGGCATCCATTTCTACTGTGTTGCCATATGAGCAAATGTGGGAAAATTATATTTTCGCTTAGGTTTTAAGGCAATTTTCTAATTCTAAAAATCGCTTTTATACCCAAGTTTCAATGTAACCAAAACGAGTTCAATGTATTCGCAAAGCAAGACAAAGACGAACCGATAGAGTTACAAAATGGCCGAAAAATGATGGCATATGCAGACGATTCGTTCGTGAGGCCTGTTCTTCGAAATATATAATAAAATTTCATAAGGGAAATATAGTCCTTCTCCCACCAAAGAGGTGTGGTACACAAACCCAAATGAGTTAAAAAATTACAAAAGTGGTACACGAATAGTACTGGAACATTCCATGGAGTTGGAGCTGGAATAGGGAGAAGGGAGCTGAAGACATTTTCCCAGGTCCCAACCCACTGCTTGGATTTAGTAAGAGACAATTAAAGCGGGATATTTAAAACTAGCGACTAAAATACACACACCCACATTGGAATAACCTTAACGACCTTAGGAATTTGGAAAAACCTCTTCACCTTTGTATAATGCTAAAAGAGCTGAATCTGATAGGAGACAGATGAAAACTCTGTGTGGGACACTAACGAGCCAGCATAAGTGTGATAAGCATTTTAAACAATTTGGTATAATCAATACTAACAAATGTAGATTCTGCTGTTATTTTAAGGGGACAATGGAACACTTTACCGCTAACAACTAGAAGAACGAAATTCTTATGCAACTAACAGTAATACCACAGAAGGAGCTTATTCAATTTCTAAATCTAAGTACACTAAATAACGAGCACCTTATTAGGGGGGTGGGGGGAAATAGATCAATCTGCTCGCGGTGTTATAAGAGTGCGGGCCCTCACTCACCACTCACCATACATATATGTATGTAATATATACCATGCTCTTAAGCAGCAACTTGTAGGCACTGGAGCACAATACTTAAAAAAGACTTAGAATACAGGAAATTGAAAATTTCAAAGGAAAAAGGATTTAATCTTGGCGAAAAAGTTATTTTTGGTTGAATCTCATCATCAAATGATCACAGGGGTAGAATTATTAGCAAAGACATTTGCCTTGTAATTAAACAATGTCCCTTAAAAGTAAGTTATTATTATAAGCAATATGCAACCCCTAAAGTGCTCTCATCTTCGTAACCATCTGCCCTATATGGGAAGGCTTTTGATGTAGCCTAGAACTTACAAGAGCTTTTTTCCATGTTTCCAAACGGATTAGAAGAGCTTCACACTCACAGAGGATGTGTTCTGGCATTTCTTCGTCCAGCTCACAAAATCGACAGTCGTTTGTTTCTGAGAGGTTCATTTTACTAAGATGGTAATGAAGGGAGCAGTGTCCCGTGTAGTACCCAGTCAGAGTTTTAAGGTCCTCTTTGCTTAAATTAAGTAGTTCCTTTGAAGCTTCATTTGAAATACAGATAAATCGCTTGGCTTGCCGCTGACCTGTACCCACATTACATTCAGTTCCTGTTGAACATTTTTTCTGTCTAGTCATTTATGACCCCCTTTGTGTGTGCTTTGGCGAGCCCACAAAAGGGTTCCGGACCATGAAATACTGCGGTGGCTCCTCGTTGCCATCATGTCCCTCATGCCTCGATACTCATCCTAATAGAACTATATGCTTAGCTCTAGGGCCATTTGGGACACTGAAGCAGTCATGTGCTAGCCGATAATTCGTTTTGTGGCACTTAAGTGTCAGTAGGGCTGCCTAACTATCCGAAAAAATTGCAAGATAAACAGATTTCGAAGATGTGCATTCTCTGCCGCAAATTTCTATTGCATGAACCTTCGCTTGAATGACGGTGAGTTAGGTACCCATTCGTATAGATTTTTTGAAGTGGGGCCAAATATGCCAGGCCCAGTTTTACCATCATCAAGTTCGGATCCATCTATGTACCAAACCTTCCCTTTTGGTTTGGGTTTTAGAGTAAAGCAAATGCAAAATAAAATTAGAAAGGGAACTGTTTTGGAAAACTCTTCTCTTTAGTACGAAACTGCTGCTCAAGAGTTTGAAATTTTGATGAATTTTGTATTAACGCTTTTTCTACCGCCCGCGTCCAATGGACCCGAATGAGATTTTCAATGTCTGATGATTTTGAACTCCGTAACTGCTTTACTTTGCATATTTTCATGTAGTCTATTCTTTAAATATATATATAATTTTTTTTTTTTATATGCAATTGGTATTGTTATTGCAAATCTAGCGGGAACTACCAGCCCGGGTCCGTTGAACCCACATTGTTGCTTGCATAGGGCTCCAATGGTAGACAAAGGTTTAAAACGCCAAAAGGTTTTTAGTTTTTTACTAAGATAAGCTTGATAGTAAGAAAACGATAGGCTGGATTATGCTTTGTTTCCCTCTACTTTTTTTTTTTTACAAAATAATTGTGCTAGCACCCGAATTTCTACCTACATACTTTGTATCTAAACAAGTGATGAACAAAAAATTATATAACGAGTGCTTTAAGTCTAAATTTTCATTTGATTTGTGAAGTAATATAAATTAACTCGTTCATGCTTAAATATTTTGTATATAGGAAATAAAAATTCTACTCACCGGCATTTCGCAACGATCCAACATTTTCCAATATTCTCAAATTGAGAATGTTTTACAAGAATCCTCAAGGATTTTACTTTTATAGTACAGTTTAAGGAAATTTGTCTAGTTTTACCGGACACGCGTACATTTGCGATTTGTGTTGCGGAGAGCTGAAATAAATGAAAGCGGAAACTTTGATTAGTACATATGTAGTAGTTAAATAAAAATAAACTAGTTTTTAAAAATAATAGCGGATCTAATATCTTATCTTACTTTGCTATGCTTTAAGATTTTGCATCAAACTATAAGTGTCCACAACAGCTAAATTATGCCATTATTTTCACAATCAAAAGCTCAATATTTGCAGCAATTGATAAAGGTTTCGAGAAAAGTTAAACAGGGCATATTTCGGATAGGGTTGCCAACTGGATAAAATCTAATTCAATTTTATATATACATAACGCAGAATTATTGGTGAGGATTGCTAGCTGTTTGGAAAAGTAAACGATAAGTACGTTAAGTAAAATATCTCAATATTGTTAAAAACAAATTTTTATTGAAGTTGCCACCTATTTAAATTTTTCGTGAAATTTTTTTTTTTAATTTAGTATAAAATATAGCTCAGTAAACGTGAAGATGTTTTGGAAAGGTTTCACGCTCAACCTTTATTAAACAGAGTTGCCACTTGCCTTAAAAAATGGATGAAAATGTTTTTTTTTTGTGTGCAATTTTTGGAGAAAATTAATCGCTTAAGTCTGAAAATTTTTGAATTCCATTGCTACTTGAATGTAAAAGTAGTAGTTTCGCCGCCAAATGCCCCTTTTTTTCAATCTTCTCACAAAACTTCTTTATAGAATCGATGCATTTTACATAAAAAAAGATACATCGGTAAAAAATATTGCATAAAAATATCTTTACTAAGCCGTTTTTATTTACCAACCTGCGTTTAAATACATATTTTTCTATACTCACATACTTATGGCCCTAGAAGGGTTAAGAAGTATAAATTAATAGTTTCTTTTAAATTAGCTTAGTATATAAAGTTCTCACGCCAAACTATGTACATTAGGGTGATCCAAAAACAGTAAAGTCGGAATTTTAATGCGCTCACCCCCTAGGATTGTTCTATATCAAAAAAAAAAAATTATACGCCAATTTTTTTATTTTGAAATCAAAAAATATTTACAGATCGCTCAAAGCGCTCAAAGTTTTCCATGCATTTTTATATGGGAAAATAAAATATTTCGTAGAAATGGTATAGAATTCTCGAAAATCAATATTTTTCGATCGGAAAACTGTAGTTCTCTTCCGGAGACTTTCAATAATAATACATAATTGTTTATTTAGTCCTTTTTAAATACTAACGATTTTTTATTGGTCCCCCCATTGCATTTTTGGGAATTTTAGGTGGACCTATAAATTATAGTTGCGATGAAAAAATGATTAAATATACAATGGGGTATTATTATTGGGAATCTCCTGCAGATAAACAGAGTTTTCCGATAGAAAAATATTGATTTTTAAAAATTCTATACCATTTCACTTTGGGCGCTTTGAGTGACGTCTAAATATATTTTGATTTCAAAATAAAAAATAGGGGTATATTTTTCTTCCGAACTTTATTTGTTTTGTTGTTTTGTTTTTATGCATTTTTGGACCACCCTAATGAGCACACATATACAAAACTATTTTTACGCTTTTTATTGAAACACATTTCATCCAATCGCCTTTTTAAGCGTTTTCACTGCAAAAATGTCAAAAACAATCGAAAATTGAGAAAATGACGAACGCACAAGCAAATGTTTTTTTTTTTAATTTATTGCGAAATTTTCCAAAAAAATAAAAAAACAAATGGTAGTCATTGTAAACACCGATTGCAGCACTTTAAATGCCATTAGACAAGGTAAATAATGATGAAAAAACGATGCTGTTATTGTTGCTGTTGTTTCTCCGCCATGCTGCCATGCTGCCACTTCTCTATTGTAAATTCATTAGTTGCGTTGTTGACTTCCCCTTTTGCCTGCGTCAAGTTTATGCTGCTTGTTGACGCTTCAACACGCCAACCAAAATCGAAAATGTCAGAGAAGGTGGCGCAGCGTGCCTGCCTGTTAGATTGACTGAGTGACTGACTGACTGCCTGCCTGCTCGCTGTCTGCCTATGCGCTCAAATCGTGCTGCGCATGCGCATTAGCGTACATAAACCACAACTCATTGGCTTTTCATTGCTTTCATTGTCGCTGTTAACAAAACACTGCAAAATGGGATGCGGTCGCTCTAGCCGAGCTATGTATGTATGTATGTAACAAAACGCCTGCCTGTCAATTTTACTGGTTGACTGACTAACTCGTTAAGTTTAATGCGCGCTTCAGCGTGGATGCAGCGGTAAATGGTTGCAGGTATCGTTTGGCTTTTGTTGTGGCCGATAGCTTGCTTGAATGGTGGTAACCATATGAATGAGTGATTTACTTTTGTAATGCAGCTTGTTTTTGGTTGATTTTTTTTTTTTTTTTGTTTTTTTTTAAGTTTTTCGTAAGGCGTCACTTCGCGTCACGTAGTCTGCTATTTACAGCTGTTGTTGTTCGTTTAGCGGCAGCAGCTGTTGGTTATTGCAACTAGTAATTGTTGCTTACTACTCAATGGCATTGCTGTAGTTGTTACGTGTATTTATTGTTGTTGTGCATTCATGCTTCCCAGTGCAAGCTGCACCCAAATTGTCTGCTGCTTTCAACTTACTTACATTTCATATTTCGCGTAAGTGGCTTGTAAAAAATTATTACAATTTTCTTCTTTATTAAAAATGTCAATAAATTGGTTGATAGTTTTCGAACGCAAGTCATTTGTATGCAGCGTGCAACGTGAATGTGGTATCTGATGGATGATTGGCTGTTAAGGCGAAGAGTAGGAAATAAATTGGTAGGAGAGTAGAAAGCAGATGGGACAAATGAGGCAAGCGCGATGGAAGGCAGCAATTAGTTGAGTTGTCGCTTCATTCATGCAGGACAGGCGTTTTATATACCAGAATCAAAAAAAAATTGTATAAAAAAATATTTTTTTTATTTGAAAACGGAATTACATAGAGCAAATTCGATAATTCCATATCTGAATATTGGAAAATTAAAAAAGGAAGTATCACGAGTCTCACCCTCGAGCTCTTCGCCTGCGATAGGTGGCGTTAGTCTTCGGCGATTGAATTCAAGGGGTGAGAGCCGACGAAGTCTTAGATTGATGCTCGCTGAATGGCCGCCTGCCCATAATAAACCATATTTCTATAGTCGGTCTGGTCTGGTGTATTCTTAGTTCCAAGATAGTCGGTTATGCATGCTCGAGTTTTATCCGACAAAGGAAAGGTTAGACCAGTGAACCTCATTTAATGTGAATTGTTACCTTTTTATCGTATTGAAATTCTGGTCACGATTTCTAACTAACAGTGAGTATTTCTGTAGATAAAATAAGTAGACTAAAACCAGTTTCTTGGATTGTTTTTTTATTTGAAAATGGGAAACCCGTTTTAGTAAATTGCCACTTCTCGAATAACTCGAAAACCGAATAATCGAGCACACTAAGCAGAACGTATTTTGAATTTTTTCACAAATATTAACCGCCTTTGTTTTTATAAGCTGACTAAGTTGGTTGTTATTTTAGGTCATTCCTTTTTTCAGCTTAGTTAATTTCATAATTTCGTTTTATTTGCTTTTATTCCGTTGCATTTCTTCTCATTTCATTCTGCTTCGTTTACTTATTTTTGTTCCTTTTCATTTCGTTTCATAACATTTCTTTTTAACTCACTTCGATTTTATTTTATTTTATTGCGTTTTATTTGATTTTATTCCATTCCATTTTATTTAATCTCATTCCTATTCATTTCATTTAATTCCGTTCATCTCATGTCAATCCGTTTCATTTCATTTTGTCCCATTTCACTTTATCCCATTTCATTTCATATCATCCTGTTGAATTCCATTTAATTTCATATCGTTCCGTTTCATTATTTTTCTTTTCATATCATTCCGATTCATTTCAATTCGTTCCATTTCACTTTATTCCATTTCATTTCATATTAATCCGTTTCATTTTATATCATTCTGTTTCATTCCATTTAATTTTATATCGTTCCGTTTCATTCCTTTTCATTTAAGTGAAGTGAAACGGAGTGAAATGAAGTTAATTGACATGAATCGGAATTAAATGAATTAAAACGGAAGGATATGTTTCTTTGTTTCGTTTCGTTTCTTCTATGTATATCCATTTAATTTATTCTGACTTTATTTAATATAAATTAATTTTATTTCGTTTTATTTTAGTATATTTGTAATGTTTTCATTTAATTTTTTTTTTTTATTTTAATTTTTTGCTTTTCTTCTTTATTCTACCTATACATACATATAGTGGATTCTATTGAACTCCACAAAACACCATTTCGCAAAATTCCACTTTTCTTTTTGCCCAACAAAAGCCTTGCTTTTTGACAAGTTCCTTCATCTCATTCCCCTTCATAATGTATGCTCTTTGCTAGGTAAACAACAAGTCAACATTCAACAGACAGCCATAGAGGCATTTAAACATAAACATAAACTTTTACTTACATACATATACATATATCTAACTTAGAACGAGAAAGGGTTAAAAATCGGTTATGCGCGCTCATTAATTTTATTTACTACCCCTCCCCCACTTTTCTCTCACGCACACACACACATACAAATAACCAAAACTACACTTCAAAAAAAGTACAGCATCGACATCAGTCAACTCAATACATCTCGCACGCAAGCATTCGTCTTTTAACAGTTGCACTTCGTCTCCCTTTCACCTCCATACACAACGAGTATCAGCTACTTTGAGTCACAACCACCACTCGCACCAGAGAATGCATTGATGTGCGTCGCATTGAAGGGTTAACCTCACTCTGACTATTTTACCATTCATTTCTATGAACATTTGTTTTCTGTCATGTTCATTAGTTGTTTTTGTGTTTTTGATTTTGTATTACCTGCAATTTGTGTGACAAGTTGGCGTGCAGCTCACAGACTGTGTTCAGCTGGTGGATTGGCAGTCAAATATTTCCCTATACACCCATTTTTTCTGCGATGCCGTCGTTTGAGATATCTATGTACATATATACTAACTAGTCACTGTGTTATGCCAGTATCCTACACACAGGCAGTGAAAT